GCACACTTCAATTTAGTCATCCATTCAATTTGTCCATTCAGACGAATAACACATGTAGACACAGAAAGGACAAGCTAAATTGCTTACATATCTTTCCGCGGGTCAGTTTTGCCACCGTCGCATCATTTCCGCACCTCATGGCGCGCCTAACGGGTCTTGGCGCCGCCGCCTTAGAAACGAAGCGGCTTAGCTTGGGGGGTTATCCGACCTTTTACCTACCAAGGCATGCTACGAGCAACGAACGGGTTAGCGAAGCGAAAAATGAGCCGAACGCGAGAACCCTGCCGTAGTCGAGCGCAAACGGACTCTGGACTAGACAGCGTTAATAGACAAGATAGGCCACTTGGGTAGCTACCAAGTGTTCGCACACGTGCTAAGGGCTCATTCCACCCACGGCGCCCGCCTCTTTCGCGAGTGTTCCCTGCTCGCCTGGTACCGAGCAGCTTCAGTACAACGTCCAACACAATAGGCGTGGATGCGACGTGGGGCCGAACTGACCTGGACCTGGACCTCGACTCAAACTTGGTGTAATGGCTGGAGACCAGTCTCCCCTGCGGGTGTGTCCCAAGCGGGGTAACGAGCACTTGGCAACCTAGCGGTCGGTAACGCTAATAAGCTCATGGCTCATGGGGATAGCTTCAGGGCTCCTCAGAAATGCCCGCGAGTGCGAGTTGGCCAAGAGGTCAGCCTGTTGGTCACGTTGGTCATGGCTTGGCTGCGCCCACCGTCAAAGCACGCGCGCGCACACACACACACACACACAGACATGCGCACACAAATATGTACATACACACGTATGCACCACCTCGATACGAGCCAACGGTATTGTGCCCGTGTGGCAAATCAGGCAAGCCAAGATGCGTGGGCCAGGTAAGTGAGGTCAGCTACTGATGTGAAATCGTGAACGGTGCAGGACCCCTGACAATCTATCTATCCCCCTACGCCAATTCAGCGTCTATCTCTCTCTTACTGAGATCTCACCCGCGACCCAAGGCAGGAAGCATGGGCCTCTTTGTCTTGGAACTTCGCCGAACCCCGAGAGTCTCACCCCCAGGGTACAAGGTGACTGACACCGGCAGAGGGCTGCACTAAAAGGCAGACGCCTGCCGGGAAGAATGTGGCTTCTCGACTTTCCAGTGGTGGCAGCATCTCAACAATACCGTTTTATTCCTCGGCCCCATAATCGTAGCCCAGTGCTCGGTTCAGGTCTAGATGTTATGACGTGCTTCATGAGGCTTGACGACAAGGGCGACTGACGGCTTCACAACATGGTGGCTCCGAATCAGCAGAGGCCTTGTCAGTTATCAAGAACGATTTTTTGCGGTATTCAGCTATCTAATTCAGTACCTACAGAGAAATTATGCATTGCAGATGGATAGAGAGAAGAGATGGCGATAGAGACAAACAGTAGACAGAGTTTCGACTCGTGCCCACACCGCTCCGCTCTTGGTCTAGTAGCCTGCAAGATCTCCGAGATCAGCGTCCAGGACCGACGGTGACAGGCAGATGGGTCCCGTACATCTGAACTACCTGCTTGCATTGCTTCGCACTTTAGAGGACTCTCGCCAGAGGTGGTGCCTTATCGCCGCTGGGCACTACTGACCACCCACCCACCACCTTGCGAGACGGCCAAACCGAGCTGGGTTTGGATCCAGCGCCCATTCCCTACCCCTTGATCCGGGTCGAACATGCAGCATCGCGCCGGGGCACGCCGGGGGGGGGGGGTCTCCACTCGCTAAGGTGATCCTGCACAGGGTCGCAAGGGGAGAGGGGCATGGTCGGTGATGACGGCGGGAGGGCAGATCAACCGGGTGGATCATGCATCCTACATGGCTCCCTCCAACGCCCACGCTGTGCCTGTTGAGATAGACTCGACTGTTGAGGGGTGGGTGGTAGGTGTTCGTTGGGGGGTGGCTCGCGAAAGGGATTCTCTAAAGGGAAGAGGAGGGGCGTGTGGTTGTTGGAATGTTCAAGGTCGTCAACCAAGCACGATCCAGGACAGGGTGCGAGCGAGCCGTTGTGTTGGGATCCCAGTCGACAAGGCAAGCAAGCATCATGGCTTCAGAAGAGTGGACTTCTCGAAGAGTAGGCATTCAGCTGCCAGGCGCAAGGGATCGACATGCCCATGCCTATGCCCATGCCCTTGTGCCTTGTCCCTTGTCCATGCTCCTCGGTGGGACTCTCTCTCTCTCTTTCTTAGTCTCAACAGCAACCGCAGAATTACCCTCCCCAGCGAGCTTCCGTCCCCCTCCAAGACCCATCCCCCCTCCACTCCTGTGACTGAGACTTCGTCGGTGCATCCAGCTGGTATTACCCTGAACAGGGGCGTCCAATCACCAGGGGTGGCAGCAGCCTGGTGGGATAACAAGCAAAACACTATGATGAGCTAGTTTTACATGGGTTAGCCGTCACCCCATTCCTCGCCTCCGCACTGACGCCCGCCGGCACATGCTCAAGCTAGAGCTAGCTTGGGTAGCAAGCCAGGTCTCGCCGCCAGGCTAAACGGCGTACCGACGGCGAGGTTGTATATCTCCGCTTAGCATCCCACGTCTTGATCCCGTCCTGGCGAATCCAGAGCTCCAGGAGTTTTCTCCGAAGCAACGACCACATACATACACATCCCATTATACATCATACTGGCACACAAAGCCCACGATACCACTTGTCATCTTTCTGTATAGTCACCTCCCAGCCAAATCCCACCGCATGCACCGCACACAATCATGTCGGCGGTACCGAAGACAGAAGTCAAAGATGAGACGCCCGAAGTCACGGCTCGGCGGCTCAAGAAGCGTGAGCTAGACCGCAAGGCCCAGCGCATGGCCCGCGAGCGCACAAAGAGCCGCATTGCCCACCTCGAGGAGCTCGTCGGCCATCTATCGCACAATGACACCAACGCTGAGGTCTCACACCTCATGGAGCGCCTGCTGCAGACAACCCAGGAGCGGGACAAGCTCGTAGGCGTCCTGGCCTCGTTGGGCACCACGATCCGCCACCATACCGACGCCCTGACGGCAGCCCAAGCAGAAGGATCGTCCAGTGCTGTCGTCGCCGCCATGCAAGCCCTGGGTGACCGCAGCGAGCGAAATGTAGACGTCAAGCCCTTTGATCAGCAGGCACAAGCCCAAGCCCAAGTTCACGACCACGGCCCGCTGACGACGAGTCACGGACATCGTGAACCGTATGCTCCTACTGATCCTCGCATGCAGCAGCATCCGTCTGCTCCGCCGCCGCCGGCATACGGCTGGGGGTTCGAGAATCCCGACCTGCACCAGCAGCACCAGCACGCACAAAACACGGCAGCCATGCCACCATATTCGTCGCAGGACTATGACAAGCTGCCGCCGGGGAATCCGATCGCGATGCCGAGGAGCGACTCGGAGTTCTCTTCAGAGACCAACGTTTCGGGAGAACACTATATGGTGCCACCATCAGCATGCCACCCACAATGCGAGTGCCTCACCATCATCGAGCCGCCCCCAGATCATCCCGCAAGCGGCCGCAACACATGGCGCGATGCTAACAGCGCTCTGGGAAAGTCTGTCAAGCTGCTGGAGGCAGAAGATGTTGAGGCCGAGGATCGCGCGAGCCAGGACACACCAGTACGGGCCATCGTCGAAGGTTGGGACAGCATCGAGCGGGCTGGCCTGATGACCGATTCATGGCGTAAACTGCGTGTTCTCGATGATATCTGCTTCTCAAAGTGCGGCGCCGTCGAGCGCTTGGCCGTGTTGAGGATGATGCACCTCCTCATCTGTTGCCACGGCGATCCCACTCCAGAGCGCCTCGCCACGTTACCACGATGGTACCGTAAGAGGTGCGTTTTTCCTCTCCATGGCATGCGGGCAATTTTCTCCATTTGAAAGAGTTGTGCTTGAATAGCGTTGCTGACCCGGTAGTAGACCCTCGCAACAGGCCATCCCACATCCGTATGCGATCGATTTCCTCGTCTGGTGTGTACTCGAACCTCCCGCTCCCCGTTGCCATTCTTTGCTTTTGTCTTGTATATACGTGCCGAGCTCCTCCTTCGAAGCATCCATCCTCTATATCCTGGTACAATCTCGACGACGACTGACAGGAAACCCACCAGGCCCGGCATCCGCGAGCGTTTTGTCTTCTCGCAACACCGCTACTGTACGAACCAGTTCTGGGAGCTCTTCCGCTCGAACCTCACCTTGGTCTGGCAGTTTGGCTTTGACGACTGCTTAATGCAGAACACGGCGACGGGGCGCTTCGAGCTGGCGCCGCTCTTCGAGGAGCGCATCCGCGACATCAAGGCCTGGACCATGAACGCCGACTTTCTCAACCAGTATCCCGAGCTCGCCGACGACATACCCGTGTTCACCGGCATCCCCGCCAAGCCGAGCACGCCGCGGAACGTCCTCGCGCAGCAGCAGGCGCGGTGGAGCACGACACCGAGGCCCATCAAGCGCGACGTCGACGAGCCGGCCGAGCTCGTGCCTCAACAACAGCAGCAGCAGCAGCAACAGCAGCAGCAACAGCAGCAGCACCAGCAAGCCGAAGACGACCTGGCCAAGAGCTCGGCGCTCGTCGTCACGACGCAGGCGCCCGCCTTCGCCGACAACGAGTACATGGCCCAGAGTCCCGACGTGCACGTCACCATAGCCGGCCAGCCGACATATGCCTACGACCAGTCCGGCGTCATTGTGCCGACGACGCTGGCGCCGGCGGACCTCGGCCCGGGAGGACAGCATGTCTATCCTGGCGGGTCGTGGTTTTACACATACTGCCAGCACGGCTACACATGAACGCAGTCTCGAGACGAGAGAAAAAAAAAAGGGGTCATGAAAGGGAAAAGAAAACGGGATATCTACATTCTGATGCATGCTACCTACGATATGATGCAAACTGGTATTTCCGCATTCTTGGACGCCGCAACCCTGGTAAGATACAAACCAACGCTCGCTACACCACACACATCATGTATACATAAACAAAAGAAAGAAAAATAAAGAAAAAAAACTGACCAGAGACAGACACTACGCCCCCACACCAGCACACGGCGCCGCAGCCGGCAGGGCAAAATCATAGGCCGGCGCGACGGGATCGTAGCGTTGCAGGAACGAGGAGGGTCGGTCGTCCTCGAGCAGCTCGTCCAGCTTGTGGCGGCCGTAGCAGGGGGGCACCTCCATGCTGCTGTTCAGGCCGCCGGCGGCGCAGACGTGGACGTCGGGGCGCCTCGAGATGAAGTAGTCCGAGCCCGCGACGGGGGCGTTGGGAGAGATGTAGAGCTTGATGGGGATTGTGGCTCGGAACTGCACCAGTCAGTTTTCTGGGGTGGGGAACACGCGGCAAACGACATGGAATGAGGGGGAGGCAACCTTGGCGGGGAGAGTGATGAGGGAGGGGACTATATCGACCGATATACTAGGTCGGCATAACACGAGAGGAAGATGCAAGAGGCAGCAACCAACCCAACAGGCAACAAGCAACAGATAAGAACGGGGGGATGAGACGCCTCCAAGAAGAAAAACTCACATTCGAAATCATATCAGGTCCCTCCGCAAAAGTCACGGCGAATTCCACCTGGTGACTGACCTTGATGCCGCGCACATCAACATCAGGCGAACACTTGATCAGCGTCGTCGGCATCGGCAGCCGCCTCTGGACATGCCATTCGCCCGCCGCGCCGTCAAACCGACCGATGCGGCCCTTGTCGTCCATCGCCAGGTCCCACGCCGCCGCGAGCCGATACCCCTCAACGGTGCTGGTCGTCGTCCCGGCGCCGGGGCAGCCCGAGGACACCTGTGTCTCGAGCGAGTGGACCTCGCGCAGCAAGCAGCGGACGGAGCGCAGGGTGATGTTCTTGGCGAGGGCGGTGAAGCGCAGGTCGACCGGCAGGACGGTGCCGAGGGCGATGGCCTTGTGGGCGAGCGACAGGGAGTAGACGAGGCGGCCGGTGCTTGTGCCCTCGACGGTGGCGGCGTCCATGAGGGCAAAGGCCGAGCTCGGCAGGGTGCGGATGATACGAATGGGCTTCATGGCCTGAGGCGATGTCTCGTCGGGCGCGTCGCGGACGGTGCTCGCCTTGAGGTGGTAGGTGATGCTGCAGCGGGGACAGCCGCGGGCTGTCTCGGGGACGTGGCCCGGGATGAGGTGCTCAAAGGGCCACTCGTAAGTGCCCTTGGGCAGGGGTCCGCCGAGAGATGCCGAGGGGACGTCGTCGATGAGGAACGGCGCCCAAATGTGCTGGTAGACAACGCCCGTCGTGGAGGAGGCGGAATGCAGGTCTGAGTCGTGGTCGCTGAAGGCCATGTCAGCTGCCTGTGTTCGATACACCAGCCACCTACCGAAACAAATACAAACAATGCAAACAAAGGGGGTTCGATGCCACATACGATGTCCTGTGATAGCCGACCAGCTGCAGCTGCACGCCCCTGGCGCGCTGCGCGGACGGCAGGCAAAGGGTGACCTTGCCACGGATGTACTGGCCCGGCGCCTCGCGTTCAGAGCCGCTCAAGATAACAAAGTCGCTCTGGGGGCTGTGATCGGCGTTAGCAAAACGATGTCTCGGACGGGTTGGGCAGCAGAGCAGCAGATGGCTGAGCAGTCAATTGCTGGGCAGAAGATTCAAGGGCGGTAAAGCATACGAAATCTTGATATAGGCGTCGCATTGACCGCCGGTCAGCCTTGTCAGCCACGAAGGCATTCTGTGTTTCGGAGTTTGGGGGAGAATGTCGGGCTCGGGTTTGTTGGTACAGCCAGCCGGGTCTAGTCGTGTCTCTGTGTGATCAAAGTGTGTGTGGTCAGAGGGAGACGAGAGACAGAGAGACTCGTCTCAGTCGAGGCTTCGAGAGAATGCTGGAACGGATGTGGACGTGTTCTTATGCCCCAGCGCAGAGCTTCTTTGTTGGGCTGAGGGTGAGATTCTGGGGGTTCTCGGCTTCTTATTGGAATGCGTGATCGGCGTCCAAGAGTGACACAGGCCAGATGGACAGCAAGGTCGCACAGTGAGGTTAGTACCAAAGTTGGTACAGAGAGAACAGCGGATGGGTTCCAACAGTTGAGACAAGGCAAAAAGAAACGGACTTCTGAGACTCCCGGGTTCAGCAGACAGGCGGTGGTGCCTGGAACGAATATATAATCACTAATGCTACATTGACTAACTAAGTTTCTGACGTGTGAGGACGAACGCCGGGCGAGACATGGTTCAGAAGCGGATCGGCATTAGGAAAAAAAGAAAAAGAAGAACGAACCTCAGGAATCCACCCCAGACAAGTCTTCACGAGACATACGTTGCGAAGGACAAGATACGCCAACGCGCTCCGCAGGCTTTTCCAAACTCGTGGCTTCCGACAAGGCCGGTGGGAGACCAGCCTGGTCAGCGTCATACGTGTGCAGGTGAATCCCGAGGTCGGGTTTCAGGGGCGGAGCATGCTCCCAGTGGCTGGCTCCGTCCGGCACTTGCTGATGTGCCTTGTAGTCCAATGATTTCAGCACCCTGGATTCCGGCTGTCTGTGGACGCACTCGGAGGGTTTCCCAGGCTGAACACTCCGCTGGGCGGGAATCGCCCCGACGGGTGACAAGGACGAGGTGGGCAGGGCTGCTGGGCTGATGAGCGGCTGGGCGGCTGGGCGCATGTCCGATCCAATCCCGATTCGGAAGTTCCGACGATGCCGCTGGGTTGGGAGGGGTACCTCCGCTGATGCCATGACAGCAGCAATCAGGGCTGTCTGACAAAGACGGCTAAGCCGAAACTTTGGCTATGATGATTTCTGCTGTAGAGAAAGAGTCTGACAGGTGGCTTGAGATGCCTCGAGATTGATTTATGGCGGACAAGCCGAATGATCGTGTCCGGCATCTTGTATTTTCACGGGCCGGAGGCTGCCGGTAGAGCGGGGTAGAACGGCTCCGGGTAGTGGGGCCCAGCCGGCAGTCTCCAGTCTCAGTTCCAGTCCCAGGCTTGTACCCCGCGTTGAGGCCCAGAACTGACCAGCAGACTGAGACAAGTTTAGGCCTCCGTGGATGATTTGATGAAGACAGCATTGACGAATGACTGAGCTTGCACTGTTTTGCAATCCTTCTTCTCTTCTTTTTTTTGCTCATCAGTCCACTCTTGGCACCAAAGCAAAGTATCTTCCACAACAGGTGAGCCACGTGACGAAAGAGGGGTAATAGGTGCCTGTGCCTGCCTGCGTCACGTCCCGTCTCGAGGACCGCGGCAGGCACTCAACTGAGGCGCTTCGGTTCAGCCACAACGTGATATCGCCTCATAACGCTCCTTTCCTTGTCGTGCCTGGACCTTCAAATACCTTCCGGCAATTTCCATCAACTCAGACGACATGGCCTGATTCCGCCATCCGCCATCCACCATCCACCATCCATCATCAACCATCCATCATCAATCTTGTCCCCCGAACCATCCGAACACAGAACTTAAACTCACCGACCCTCACAGCATGGGCATGGACATGACAGACGAATACCCTTTCGACCTCGGCACATACACCCGCCCCGTGACCACCCGCTCTGCCCAATGCCAGGCATGGTTCGACCGTGGCCTCGTTTGGTCCTATGCTTTCAACCACGAAGAAGCCGCCGAATGCTTCCGCCACGCCATTGCGCATGACGGCACCTGTGCCATGGCCTATTGGGGCCTCGCCTACTGCATCGGCCCAAACTACAACAAACCCTGGGCCTTTTTCGACGCCGACGAGCTCGCGCGTGTCGTGCGTCAGGGCCACGACGCTGCGCTCCAGGCACAGGCTCATCTCGATGCTGTGACGCCTGTGGAGCGAGCCCTCGTCGCCGCCGTCCTCAGTCGATATCCCCAAGCCACACCGGACGCCGACTGCGAGCCCTGGAATCTCGCCTTCGCCCATGCCATGCAGGCTGTCCACGCCCAGTTTCCCGACGATCTCGACGTCATCACCGTTTGCGTCGACGCCGTCATGAACCTCCACCCCTGGGACATGTGGCAGCTTAAGACAGGCGAGCCTACGCCTGGCGCCCAGACGCTCGAGATGAGGGCCATCCTCGACCGCGCCCTCGGTCTGTCTGATACCACAGCCGCCTCGGCCACCTCCGTCGACGCCGGTGTCCCTCCACGAGGCGGCGCCAAGCACCCGGGTCTGCTGCACCTCTACATTCACCTCCTCGAGATGTCGCCCCACCCAGAACACGGCCTCCCTGCCGCTGACAACTTGCGCACCCTCGTCCCCGATGCCGGCCACCTTCTCCACATGCCCTCCCACCTCGACATCCTGACGGGCGCTTATGCAGCTGCCGCCGAGGCCAACACGCGCGCCGCCGCCGCCGACGAGCGCTACCTCGCCCACGCCGGGCCCCTCAACTTTTACACCCTTTACCGCAGCCACGACTACCACTTTCTTGTCTACGCTGCCCTTTTCTCCGGCCAGTCGACCCTCGCCCTCGACGCCTGCCGCCGCCTCGAGGCCTCCCTGCCAGCGGCCCTGCTGCGCATCCCCTCGCCGCCCATGGCTGACCGCCTCGAAGCCTTTCTCGCCTTGCGTCCCCACGTGCTTGTCCGCTTCGGCCGCTGGCACGACATTCTCGCTCTGCCGACCATGCCCGATCCGTCCAGCGCGCCCCCGGCCAATCCAGACGCAGACGAGTACGAAGAAGACGCCTCGCTCCTCTGCGTCACAAACGCGACCCGCCTCTACGCCAAAGCCCTCGCCCACGCCGCCCTCGGCAACACGTCCCGCGCCCGCGCCACGCAGGTCCTCTTCCTCGCCGCCCGCGCCCGCGTCCCCGCCTCGCGCACCCTCTTCAACAACACGGCGCCCGACCTCCTCGCCGTCGCCGCCGCCATGCTCGAGGCCGAGATCTGCTTCCGCGAGGGTCCAGCCGCCTGCGACGACGCCCTCGCGCGCCTCGCCGACGCCGTCGCCCTGTCCGACGCCCTGCCCTACGACGAGCCCTGGGGCTGGATGCAGCCGGTGCGCCACGCCCAGGGCGCGCTCCTCCTCGAGCGCGGCCGCGCCGCCGAGGCGCTGGCCGTGTACGCGGCCGATCTAGGCATCGACGATCACGGCGCCGAGAGGCTGCCGCGCGCGCTGCAGCATCCCGGCAACGTGTGGGCGCTGCACGGATACCACGAGAGCCTCGTTCGACTGGGCAGGTCGGACGAGGCGCGCGCCGTCGAGGGTACGTTGAATGCGCTCCTGACGGTGGCAGACGTCGAGATCACGTCGTCCTGTTTCTGTAGGAGGGTGACGGCACAGGACTGCGCCGCATGTCGTGACTGATGGACTGTGCCGTATGCGAGCACCATTGCTGACCATGTGACGCGCAAACCCTGATTTGACGATACCAAGCAACTACGACTGCAGGCAAAATAAGCAAACCTTTCAGGTCGTCCTCGACCGGCAGGATTCACCAGTCACACCTCATCCCCCCAGGCCATGCAGCCCCCTAGACCTTTCCACGTGCCAACACCTTCATCAGGCCTGATGCCCCTTACTCTCCCCCCATGTCGCACCTTCATACCCCAACAGCTCTTGCGCTGCTGCCCAAACTTTTTCTGCAATCTCCAGCACATCCTCCGGCATGCGTCCACCACCGTGCGCGCATCTTGCTCCGGCGCCAGGGCCAAACCCGACACCGTCCTGCTTTGGCTGATTCCACCACGCCGAAGCGCCCCCGTCACTGGTCGTGCTGCTGGCGGCGCTTGAGCTCCTGGCACCATCCAATCCCTTCAACGACTGTCGGATACGATTGGTCAAAACACCAATTTCCTCAGTCTGGGTCGTTTTAGTGCTGCCGTCAGATTCATGCCCCTCCTCGTGTACTTCCCTGGCCGCCTCGTCATCAGCTGCAGCCTCCGAATCTACCTGTGGGACCCGAATGTCCCGAAGACGCATGGTGAAGCGTTCGAACACTGCCAGCCGCTTCTCTGCCGCTTCGGCTCGTGACCTCCACATGGCCAATTCTCTCTTAGCCTCCCGCAGCTGCTCGCTCAGTGTGCCAATGTCCATGTTCTCTCGCGTCTCGAGTTGCCGTCGGAGCGAAGACGCCTCCTCGTCACGGGCCTCCAACTGCCTCTGCAAGTTTCGAATCTGTGCATGCAAGAGGCAATTCCCCCCTCCGGGAACAGGACTTGCTGTTGGCACTGGTAGGAAAGGATCACCCTCGGGGTCGTGATTGTCGTGATCATGGCCATGAGAAGGGCCACCTGAAATAGCAGATGGTGGCCGCGAAAAGTTCATGTGCCTGTCAACTGGCGGCTCTTCCTCCTGGGGAACCATCGTGCCGAGGCTCGGGAGATGATCAGGGCTATCGTTGAGCAGCGGAGCAGATGGAGAGGCTGCCTCGTTCTTGGACAGCTCTGGCGTCTGTCGCAATTGGATCTTGCGAAAAGCAGCAAGTGCTCTTGATGGTGATGTTTCTTCAGGGCGGGAGGCTGCGCGCAGCGTCGTGCTATCACTTGCTGATGGCCTCAGAGGCTTTTTTGTTCCGCTTCCTATCCGCAGCGATCCTCTGCTGAAGGCCTTGGCAGAGCCTTTACTTGACGAACGATCATACGTTAGCCTGACGGGCGGCACTGTTTTCGGCGGCGTGACATTTTCTGAGTATGGTGAGACGACCGACCCTGACACAGTGTCGACCTGCTTTCGAGTGGCTGGTGCTGGTGTGGCGATGAATGATGAGTCCTTGGATGCTCCCTCCCACATCGCTGCCATGGCTTTGACACCTCCAGGCCGCGATGCTGACTTGCGGAGAGCAGTCTTCGGAGTGGAGAATGCCAGGTTCTCAGATCGAGAAGGTGTTATGAAACTTCGCATGGTCGACGCCCTTGACCGCTGCGCCATTTCGGCGGCTTGCGAAGCCAAGCTTTCTCTCCGACTTTGGTCAAGTCCTGGCGCTGATACGGAGGTTTTCGCGAAGTTTATCAACCCAATTTGATCATCGCAGGTCCGTGTTGCGGATGCGCGACTCAATCTTGTAGATGTGATATTAGTCTTCGGGGAAGCATTGTCCTACTGTGCTTCCAGCGAATCTGTTCTTGAAGCATCGGTGTGAACTGGCACCTTCATAGCAACGTCAAACTCCTTGAAAAGCTCTTTTGGCGTAATCTGGATAGAATTCTCACGCTCTTTCTCTCTCTCAGACATGCGCTCGTCGTGCATATTGCTGTTAATGCGGACCGTTTGGTTGGATCCAGCCCCGCTGGTGTTCCGCTGGTCAAGCAAGCGTGACTCGACCTCCATGTCGGCTTTCATGATGACTCGCCAGTCTGACAGGCTCGAATTCCCCACGTCGGGGCTGCCTGCAACAGGTTGACGCTTCGGGAAAGTGGTTCTTTTCTGGATACTTTGGTGCTCACTCTGTCCGACGGCTGGGCTTGCGACCTGCCGTGCCGTGATTTTGCTCTCCTCGGACGAATATCCTTGTCCACGACTGGGAATCGGTCCTACTATTCCTTGCTCCGGCCAGCCTTCCTGGTCCGTTTTCATGAAACGGCGGATACGTGAGGACACAAGTCCTGAATCCGATTGCTGAAGACCGCTCTTCTTGCTAGCTTCAAAGGGGGAACGTACCGGTGAACGTCGCGAACGGGGAATGTTTTCTGACTCGTCGCCTCCTTCGCTCCCCGTTGATTGACAGAGTATCCGAGATTGAAGGGTCTGAAGCGACGGATTGGCTCTTGTAGATGATCGAGGTTTGGTCGCATCCTGCGAACTGCATGATTTCGCAGCTGGCGTGGTCATCGGCTGAGTTGCAGGCGTAGCACGATTATTCCCAGACGTGCAGCTGTTTCGAGACACTTCGACCGATTGCCGGGGTGTGCCACTTGCAGATGATTTCGTTTTTCCGGCAGGGCTGAGCTTCGCGGCTGTCATCATCTTTGCCAAGGTTGACGGAAACGGCTGCTTCGTGTTTGGCATTGCGCGTGTTGGGTCTTGTGTGTCTGGGGGATGTTGTCGTGAGGTCGACTCTGGCAGCCATTGCAGCGCGCCATGGTCGGAAGCGCTCTCCTCCGCTGTCGGCGAGAGAGGGTTGAGTGAACTTTTGGGAGGAATCCTAGTGATCGAATCAGAGTAAGACGACTTTGGTCGGGTTCGTCGAATGGACAGAATGTCGGCTGTGCTGCTGGAAATACTTTGACCCGTCAACCCTCCACGCCCTAACACACGATCAACATAATCAGAATCAAGAATGACTAAGTTCCAGGGCAAAACATACTTTGAGCCGGTGTGGGTGTATTGAGCGTTGGTGATCCAGTACGATCGGCCCCTGGCACATCAGGGCTGTGGCCTTCCCAGCCAGGAGGCTGTTTAAGCTTGAATGGCTCTGAAACTGAGCTTCTCAAGAAACCTCTCCCACTCGCCAAATTTCCATTGGAATTTTCTTTGCTCCTCCCTTTGCCGGCCAAAACAGAGAGGCTTCGTAAATTTCTGACAACGTCTCGCCAGTGAGTGATGATCATCTCAGCAATCTCGTTGGCGATCAGTATCTTGTCAATTGTGGGAGAATGTTCCGAAACCATGGTCTTGCTGCGCAACCTTTCTTTCTTGAGTTTTGCTGGGGTCATAGGAAACAAGAGAAGCCCTGAGGATGGGTGAGCAACTCTCATGTTGTACGTATCGAGTAGGTCGCCAATAAGTAGGGGTCCAAATATGATACCAAGGGCGCTGTAACCCATGAGGTCAGATGTTGGAAGAGGATGGCCCAGATCGTCCTCGTGGGGCGCGATCTCCGCTTGACGGCCTACAAGAGAGAGCAGACCAAAGACGGCACAGAGAAGTTCACGATGGAATTGTGACTGAAGAGTTCCAATGGCCAGTGCGATCATTCGACCTCGTATCTTGGTTTGCCTCGTTCTGATGAACTCGGGCTCAGCACGGGACTGACTGTGGATGGCAACGAGTGCGTCAAACAACCCTAGTGATCCGAGGATACCTCCAGGCAGAACTCCGAGGAACTTTTTGAATGCCGATGCAATGTCGTGAGGACCAGCGTTGATGTGGGTTGGAAGGTTCGGGCATCGAACAGTACGGGCAACCTCCTCATTCTGGCCCTCGAAGCAATAGTAGTCGAAGAGAGCATTGACGATGCGTTGTGAGCCGGGGATTCTGAAGACGCCGCGAGTCACGAGACCTTATGGCGTCAGTACTGCTGAGCAGGATGATCAGAGCGAACATACCATGTTGCGCGAGATACTGCGCCGTGGCCCGAAAGCATGTTGGGAGCATTAAAGCCCCAGGAGCATATTCGGCAGGAAGATAAAACATGCTCTTCCCACCAAGTCTGACCATGGTTTGTAGACTTAGTCGCTTCTGCGACTCCTTTCTACCGTGCATCATCTTCAGAGCCAGGTCACTGACGCTCCGTCGATGTCGTGGTACGTGGCCACCAGCTTGTTCCTTGTGTTCTCGTTGCTCGGTAGACGGCGTCCGCAGTATCTTCGACCACCATTTTCTCTTCTCCGTCATGGTCGATGGGTATGTGTCTCGCTAGTTTCCATCAATGTCAAGCTTCACCACAATATAGAGGCGTCTCACCTTTCCCTTCACAAAATCGTCCGCCACTAGGACACGGATTCCATGCTTCACCTCTGGTAAGCAACTTGAGAATTGCACGGAGACCAGTCTCAAATGAACCTTTTTAGCCAATCTGTTGTACTCCACCACAAAGTGTTGCCTGTCTTCGATCTCATCAGTGTCCGAAAACATGGCCAGGTCGCCGCTGGATGACGTCCAGGTCGCGCTGCTCTGCAAACACTTGGTCCTGCGACTGGAACCGGTCCACGGCGCGGGGACAATGTCCGAATTTGCAAGACGCGGGTAACGAGACGCAGACGACTGCCTAGAAACCGGCATACTACGAGGGACGAGGAAGCTCGTAGGCGCAGTGCTGCCGGCGTGGCTCTTCTGAGTTTCCGACTCCATTTCTTTCGAGGACTTTGTCGAGAACGATGGATTGGGGACGTAGCCCGAACCTCTGTTGTAAGACTGCATTACGCGAGGTTGAAATGCGTAATTCGTGCGGGTGAGAAGAATGCAGGTAATGAAGGCCAGTGGTGCCAAGATGGTATTCAAGGTGTCTAAGGGGGTATGTCAAAATCTGCAAGACGGAGATGCCGCTCCTGGTGGCTGTGGAAGAGCTGCGGATGGTGAAATAGCGTGGCCACTGTAGAAAGCTTGCCATGGTGGGAAGATGCCTGGTTGTGCTTTTTGTTCGCGTCTTGACCTGAGCCGACCTGGTGACCATGGTAGAGAGCTCTTTCCTGACCTGCAGTCTGTGACTGCGCCCCGTGAATCGAACCTTCCTGCTGCTGACAAGATATCTGCAGTTGCCCTCCCATACGCTATTTGTAGTCTGCAGCTGATTAAGCTCTTGTCGAGTCGCCAAAATCGCCAACAGGAGGCACCTCAGCATACACAAGCACCTAGATTATCTCCGCCAGTCTGCACACACGATTAGCGCACAAAAATGAAAGACACAACGGTTCCAGAACAGACTAGATTCAACTGAATCCCGAAGCTCAATACCGCGGACCACCCTTTCAGGTCAAAACATTGAGCGATCATCTGGACCGTCTCTCATGCAGGTGAGCAGGTCCTCTATAGCGTGTGACAAAGGAAAGAAAAAGGCGGAAGACGTTGGATGCGAACCGTGCATCTGGCCAGGTTCCTCCCAGCGAAGCCCGTTCTCTCAGACGCCGTGCAGAAAATGCATCAAAGATCTTTCCACCCTCCAATATCCTGGTTCTCCTGTTCTCCGATCCCCGATCCCTGTGCTCCATCCCCTTCCGTTCATACTGTCCGTCATCCATCATGGTCGTTGCGTGTCATGTGTAGCTGATTGGCAGGTAGCCCCTACCTCAAGTCGTCCTCCTCTCCGTGAAGGAGGACGTACTTGAGGATGTCGGATAGGGAGATGATGCCTACCAATCGATTCTCATCGTCCACCACTATGAGGCGATGCACTCTCGACTTGCGCACCGTGTCGAAAATGGAGTCCAACCGGTCTTCGGGGCCGCAGGTGTAGATACCCGGGAAATCGTCCGGTCGCTTGCAGAGTGCCTCACCGACACTGGAAGACAGGTCGTCGTATGCTCCTCCCTTGATGCAGGGAATGATGTCGACCGCCTCGAAGACATTGAGTAGTCGGTTGTGTTTGTCAACCAGAGGAACGCACGATATGTCATGCTTGACCATGAGGGACACGACGTCGAGGACGGAGGTGCTCATGTGTGCCGTCGCGAGGTGGCCCCAGGTACCCAGGCCGACATCTCTGACCGCCTTCTTCAGCATGACTGTGTTGTGTTCGTTGTTGACGGCGATAAACTTGAGGATTCGGTACTGGGTTATGACACTAACAACAGTTTCCCTCCTCGTTTCGTCGTCAAGGTCGACAAGGGGGATTCGGCGGGCCTTCGTCTTCAGCATGCGGCGGCATGCCTCGTATAGGGGGCGCATAGGGTTGACCGAGACGGTCTCTAGTGGCGACACGCCGATGGCCTTCTCGATATCTGGTTGTCGTGGTTAGCATTGCCCATTTTTCCTGTCGAGTCCTTTCAATTCGTACCCCGCAAGCTGCTGAGTCGGAAGTGGTCGAGCTTGCTGATCTCGTCAGGAAACTGGCAGTAGTATTGAATGACATTGATAAAGTCGGTCGCCGTCAACAGGCCGGCAAAGGTCGACGAGTGCGAATCCCATAGCGGGGCAGAAACAATTGCTGGCAAGTCTGGTTAGGACACGCACGCGACAGCAGTAGGAGAATGCGGGGTCGGTAGGCAGCGTACAGTTCTGGATGAGGATATTCAAGCTCTTCTTGATGAGGAGGTCGTTGTCGAGCACGATCAATCGGAAGGACAGGGGCAGGACGTCGTAACTGGTTCGGACCTTGAGGAACTCCCGAATGGCTCTCTATGACGGGCGAGGCAGTGGTCAGCATAGGGTGCTACGAGTTGCCACGACAGGGCCGGTGTCGCATCTAGTCGTCGCGGAGGTTGCACCCGGGCGGTCAACCTGTCTCAAGGGCATGCGACCCCGCGCTTCGCAGACTTCCGTGCGGACAGAGTACGAGATGAAGCACGAGGCATGGCAGGCAGAGGGGGACAAGATGTGCAAGGGTAAGCTCTTACCAGACCCTGCATCTGCTCCTTATCGAGCGGGCTTAGGGGTTTCGCCGTCATTTCTGTGCGCGCAGCGGCCGCCGAAGGGGCGGGCTTGGGGCGAAGGTAGGAGGAGGGTGTGACGAAAGGAAGCTCGTGACCTTGACCGTGTGTTGGCGCTGGGGCGGCGAGTTGGGGTGCGTGAGCGTGGGGTTGGGGATGGGACTGGGAAGCAGAGGAGGAGGAAGCGTTCGGTCTGGCAATCGAGGCCGCGGTAGCGAAGACGGGAGGCGCCTGTGTTCCACTGCCACTGGGGCTGGCGTTGGGCTTTGGGCCTGAAGACGATGGCGGTACTGTCGCTGCTTGTGGTGGTGCTGGTGGTGCTGGTGGTGGGAGCGCTGCTGCTGCCACTTCTGCTGCAACCGTGACTCTAGGCTCAGGGACAGTTCCGGCTTCAGCTCCAGAATCGGCGGGCGCGGCCGCGGCGGGGTTATTTTCAAGGTCCATGTCGTGGTCAGGCATCGTCGGTCGCACCGAGCCGGAGGGGACTTGTGGGAGCTAGTACTTGGCGCATGCGCCCGTCCACCGAGCTGTCGTGTAACGCTGGCGAAAATTGAAAACTCGACGATGATTTTACACCTCCTCTCGGACGTTGATGAGTCGAAAGGCGAAGTTGATCAACCGGAGAGCAAGGCCTGCAGGAAATCTGGTACTGCTTTGGGGGGGGGTTGAGTGGGCTGTCGACTGGCACAAGCGACGGATGAGCAGACTGGCCAGACAGACGAGGAGGAGCTGGGCGATCGGAGGCTAGGGGGAAGGGGAGATGGAGGGGAAGGGGGGGTCCTTTGGAGGGGGTGTATGTGCTGTGGTTGGCGGGAAGAGGGCTTTGTCGAGGGAGATAGGCAAGGCAGATGCGGGAGATAAGGATAAGATTGTGGTGATGAGCTCATATTTCATGGGAGCTCCCGATTTACTGCCGCAATGTACGTGCATAACCTTAGAAGTCTAAATTTCAATAATCATTTCATGAGCCCGCCCTTCATCCCGCTCGGTGGGCTGCTCTGTTGGTGATTGAAGTTTTCCGTCTTTCGGCCTTCAGCACCTACCTACCTCACAGCGAATCGGGGCGGAATCCACAGAGTGAGGCGGCCCAGATGAAGACAGGCAGACATGCGAGGGCAGCAACAGGTGGCCCGTGCTCAGAGCCCTCTGTCTCTTCAGGGCGCCAAGCACTAAAACATCGCAACAGTCACTGGAGGTTGGCAGGCTGGAGGGAGCTCCCAAGACTCCCAAGGCTCCCGAGGATAAGGTGGGCCACGGTTTTGGGACGTGCAGTGTGCTGCAGGTCCGGTCGGGGTGTGCCCTTGCCAGGTTCTCGTTTTATCCGCCCCCCCCTGCCTCATGGTGATGGACTGATTAGGTTAGCGTCCTTGCCGCTCTTACTCAAGCTCGGCTCAAGACGTTCTTGCCAAACCCCGCAAGGCCGTGGATGCGGAGGGAAACTCTAGGGAAATCCACTCCCAGAACTCAGGCTTCTCGAGGATCATCAACGAGAGGAGGGGAGTCAGGTATAGGAGACCCCCCCCCCCCGGAGATACGGACGTGCACAAGTTCGCAAATTATGAAGCGGTCTTGGTATTTATTGTCTTTGGAATTAATCGTGCAACGCTGTTAAACGTGCTAGCATATACTACCCGATGTTCACCAACGGTCCGATGCAAGAGCTCCCTATCAAATAACATTCAAGAATCAATGGTCAGTCAAGGAAGTAAAGATCTCCGCGAATATATGACGATTGCTTGATCGATATCTGAGCTCGTAGCGAGCTACAGATGTATATCGAGTGTGGAGATTGCGCAGCCAAGGTACTCCTGACTCTGTTGCCATTCCCGGCATGCCTAGTTCGAGGGAGCACTTGCTCACACCCAGAGAGATTGACTAGGGTCAGTGATCTCCAATCAGCAGGATTTGTTCCGGATCTCGTACTGACTACGTACGATCTAAGTACATAAGCCTATGTGTTTCAGGTTCTTGACTTGATGAAGGAAAGCCTTTGTGGAGATGACTTGGCTCAGCCTTGATCCTTGGCAAAACGATTGTTGAATGATGATCCGTATGCAGACTCGTTCAATAACTACATTAGTAACATTGCTCACGACCAAGTTCGCCTTTGTGTAGTTGCCCCAGTCCTCGCGCTGGCTGGGGTTGCGTACTCTGGACCAGAGATGATCAAGCGTTGCCAAGATTCCCGACGCCCTACACCAGCACATGGATTTATTAAATGAAAACTCAAGGCTCCCTGGCCAAGAATCAAATCAGTTGTCTAATAGGATTTGTAGAAGGTGCTACACTAGGTAATCATCACTTGCTGCATAGTCAAAAGAGTTCAAGAAATGCCATGTCCGTCAAAGACCTCATATCAACTTATGTTTGAAGAGAGCAGGGATCGCCAGCTGTTCCGCCCATGCCGTCCACTTTATCAGCGACCAACTTGGCTCGTCGGCTTTGTAGAAAGTTGTCGGGTCCCAGGAATTGACAGGCTCCGTTTTCATACCTAGAGTCTGTGGCCGAGGTTCTCCAGTTGCATGCTTGGTGGGGGAGCAACTTAGGGCACGTAGCCGAGCACTGCCCCTCAGAGGGTACCTGTAGGCCATGCTCCTGGTGGCTGAAGTCCTGCGATGGTTGCTAAGATGCGTATCTTCACCGCAAGGTCAGAACTCCTGGCCACATTTGTGGGCGAAACGCTGAGACTTGAGTCGGATGTGCCTAGACCCGCATTGTCAGCAATATCATTGGACGAGCATCCAGGAATTTGGAGAGCTTGTTATGCAGTTGGCGCTCCAGAACAACCAGGCGCTTCAAAACCGCCCCCGTACTACCTAGTATCTCCACGGGGACTTTCCTGCGACCTTGATTCCACGCTGAACAGTGATGACAATTCGGCTGTCTTGCAGCAACTATCATTCAACTATGTCTACAGCCCAACAAACGCTCCGGCCCCCTTCGCTGCCTTGGTACTGCAGTGCGGATGATTTGCCTCGACCGCTCCCAACCAGCGAGGAGATCGAAGCCGCCACCGAAGAGTTCCCCAGCATCTTCGACTCCAATGCTCGGCGCACAGTTCTAGTGAAGGAGATCTTCGTGGTCAAATACGGCCCGTTCGTGTTTGAGAACGAAGGGCATGCACTGATGCTCCTGCAATCCCAGTGCGCACATGAAGTGCCCGCTCCTCACATTTACGCAATGTATCGCGAGAACGATAAGCTTTACCTGGTCATGGAGTACGTGCCCGGCACCCAGTTGAGCGATCTCTGGCCATCCCTTTCGGAAGATGAGAAAACGCCCATCGTGCACCAGCTCCGACATGTGTGCGATCGATTACGAATGCTGTCCTCGCCGGGACACTACGGCGGCGTATACGGAGGACCTATTCAGCATCGGTATTTCATGTCTGTCGAGAAAGACCCTCGCATCACTGGCCCGTTCACAAACGAAGAGGATGTAAATCGTGCACTCATACTGCGGTCGCGTGGTTACTGGGCCTCGTGTGGCGAGCATGGCTGGATGAATGACTTTTTTGAACGTCACTTGTCGACTGTACTGAGCGGCCACGCGAGCGTCTTTACACACTCGGACTTTCAGCGAAAGAACATCATCGTTCAGGAAGAGCCGCGTTTGGCTACTGAGGGAGACACTGGGACACGCCGTTTCAAGGTGGCAGCAGTTCTCGACTGGGAGGATGCAGGTTGGTACCCGAGCTACTGGGCTTTTGCATCATGTTTCAGTTACTTCGACTGGTGTGATGACTGGGGGGAGAAGGTGGAACGCATCCTCGACCCTTATGTCCCGGAAGCTGCATTGCTGAGGATGGTTGGACAAAATATGTGTCTTTAGATACGCGTTTCATCAGTATTTCATTAACTCGAGGCTGGCACTCGACCACAAGATTTGCGGGTAGTGCGGGTCAGGTAAGGAACACATTGCCCATCTTGTCCGTATGGTGTTCCTCGGGTTGAGAAGCCATATGGTGATACATGATAATTACCCTCTCGAGTTGATGAAGGTCGATGGAGAACTAGTCGTCGTACGTCAATGGACGGTTCATGTCCAACCCTGGGAGGAGCACCATGAGTTTACGGGTGCCTGTGAATCCAATGTGTTACAGGACCCCGTGGAAAATGACTAAGCAGCCCACCTCCTTGACGCGTCGCGCGTCGTCTCCTACATTGCAGGGCCAGCTTTCCAGGACACTTTTGATGATTTAACTGAGGCGACTACCGCCTCAGTAGAGACGTTCAGCTTGTTCCCTAATAAGAACTATCTACCCATGGGGCTGGACCACGAATACCGGGATGCCCTATTCGAGTCTATTGATGCATAGGCAGCAGTAAAGGGTTACGCGTTCACGATAGGTCGATCACACAAGAAACAGAGCGGACGGCTGATAGTTATGTGCTGGTATGTACGTATGACCGATCATGTCGTCCCCATAATGCATCCAAGAGCGCTAAAGGGGGACCATTACTCGCAGAACTGGGCATCTATCCTCAGTACTAGTCAAGGAGTCCTCGCACAAAAAGCACCTGGAGCCTATGACACCGTCCAGATTGAGGAAGATCGCGTCAAACTGACTCGCCTTTCGAATACTTGCATGGCACCCAGTGACATCAGAACTTGCGCCTACCAGACTAGCAACTCGATAGCGACTCAACAGGATATGAACAATCGGACTCCTCCAATCAAATAAGAGATGAGTGAAGGCCAAAGCTCTATCTAAATACTCCTAAACAAGCTCAATATGTCAGAATCCTCCTTGAAGCCAAGCTTAGGGCCCGCTCAGCCCCGGCTCAGGCTAAAAGCAGCGAGGCTCTGGGATGCCATCCCTGAGGTTCTCCCCGTCCCACAAGTGCAGCAGCCGCCTGCCAATCACAGGCACACATATTCGTCGAGGCTTGGGCAGGAGGTGCTCCACCCTTGGGTCCGGTGCGCGGTTGCTGCTGCTCCACTCCACATCGTTGCTCGTTGCTCGTTGCTCCCTGTTGCTTGCTCCTGGGTTCCTGTGCTATGGTGGAGCAGCGTCAACCTGGACAACGCAACAGAGCATTCACTGCTGCTCCTTCTTCCGCCCTAAATCTTGTCTCGATCACATCCATCGCATCAACACCTTCCATCTTCTCGAGCATCCTCGCCATCCGACCCCTCGCCGTCGCGAGACCCACGGGCTACACGCCGCCTTTCCCTTCCTTTCGTACATTTCCCGAAAAAGCAAACCTGATCAGGTACCTGCTGCAGCCTCGAACGACGTCGCCAACCCCGTCATCAGCTCCGCCTCCCGACGCATTCCTGGGCACCACCCGCGAACCGCCCTCAACAAAACACAACGTCCCAGACTGTCGCTGAATTTACGATACTCTTTCCACGGCCATCGTTGCCAACCGCCCGCGATGGGTAATTGTAGCTCTTGCTGCGGAGGTAATTACAAGACATCGAGGGACAGGGTATGATGACGACGGCTGCTGATCATAATGACTTTGCAGGCAGACCCCGCGATGGCCTTTACGAGCCCGTACTTGCCGACAGCGAGAGAGAAGCCGTTGCTGACCTCTTGCAATACCTCGAAAACGTAAGAATCCTTGGCGCATCACCCCTCGTTTTTCCCTGTTTGTGCTGACCACGATGTAGCGGGGCGAGACTGATTTCTTCTCCGGCGAGCCTCTGCGAGCTTTGAGCACCCTAGTTTTCTCCGAGAATATCGACCTACAACGGAGTGCCAGCCTTACGTTTGCTGAAATTACGGAGCGAGGTACGTTCATGTGGATGCCGCTCACATCCTGGGGTTTCCAATCTTTGTTGGCCGATCTACATGTGTCGGTCTGGCCGACCTGGTCTTCCTAGGAGCATAGATCTTGTGCTGACGAATCTTTCCCAGATGTCCGAGAGGTCGACCGCGACACCCTCGAGCCCATTCTATTCTTGCTCAACAGCTCCGATATTGAGGTCCAACGTGCTGCCAGCGCCGCGCTCGGCAACTTGGCCGTCAACAGTGAGTGTGACTGGCCGAAGTCTGCGGTGCGCAAACTGACCCTCTGCCAGCGGAAAACAAGGTCCTCATTGTTCAAATGAGTGGCCTGCAACCTCTGATCCGTCAAATGCTCTCTACCAACGTTGAAGTCCAGTGCAACGCCGTTGGGTGTATCACAAACCTTGCGACACATGAAGACAACAAGGCCAAGATTGCGCGATCCGGCGCCCTCGGTCCTCTGACGAGACTGGCAAAGTCCAAGGACATGCGAGTGCAGCGCAATGCGACTGGTGCTCTCCTCAACATGACGCACTCTGGTAGGTGTCCCTCTGGGCCACTTCCTCACAGCCACTGACACATCACAGACGAGAACCGACAACAACTCGTTAACGCCGGCGCCATCCCTGTTCTTGTTCAGCTCCTGTCCTCCTCCGACGTCGACGTTCAGTACTACTGCACGACTGCCCTGAGCAACATCGCCGTCGATGGCAACAACCGACGCAAGCTAGCCCAGAGCGAGACCAAGCTGGTTTCGTCGCTGGTCGCCCTGATGGACTCGTCCTCGCCAAAAGTACAGTGTCAGGCAGCACTTGCTCTTCGAAACTTGGCTTCCGATGAGAAGTACCAGCTTGATATCGTCCGTTCCAATGGCCTGGCTCCTCTGCTGCGCCTCCTTCAGTCATCGTACCTCCCGCTCATTCTTTCGGCCGTTGCCTGCATTCGCAACATTTCTATTCACCCGTTGAACGAATCCCCCATCATCGAAGCCGGATTCCTGAAGCCCCTCGTTGACCTCCTCGGATCTACCGATAACGAGGAAATCCAGTGTCACGCCATCTCGACCTTGAGAAACCTGGCTGCTAGCTCTGACCGCAACAAGGCGCTGGTCCTCGAGGCTGGTGCAGTTCAGAAATGCAAGCAGCTCGTTCTCGATGTGCCGGTCACCGTCCAGTCCGAGATGACGGCGGCGATCGCTGTCCTCGCACTCAGCGACGAGCTGAAGTCTCACTTGCTCAACCTGGGCGTATTTGCAGTCCTCATCCCCCTGACCAGCTCGCCGAGCATCGAAGTTCAGGGCAACAGTGCCGCTGCGCTCGGCAACCTGTCTTCCAAGGGTTCGTACTTGCTTCCTCTACACTCGGCATTTATGCGGTACGGTTTACTAATCAGTGTCTCTAGTCGGTGACTACTCCGTCTTCGTCCAAGACTGGAAAGACCCGCACGGCGGCATTCACGGCTACCTGACCAGGTTCCTGCAGAGCGGCGATGCCACATTCCAGCACATCGCGATCTGGACCTTGCTGCAACTCCTTGAGTCCGAGGACAAGGCTCTGATTCAACTCATCGGTCAGGCTGAGGATGTTGTCGACCAGATCAAGGAGACGGCCAACCGCCAGGTAGAGCCAGACCACGAATTCGAGGACGACGATGAGGGTGAGGTTGTCACGCTCGCGCAACGCTGCCTCGAGCTTCTGGGACAGAGCACTTCAAAGACCCACATTGAGGGTTAAGAGCTGCCTGCTGCAAGTGCCAAATCTCTTCTCCTTCCTCGGAACTGGGGGATGTGTCTGCGTAGGGCCAAGGCGCCAGATGGCGAGGAGTTCCTGGCGTTCATTACTATACCGAGTGCGTGAGCTCTTGTTTTTACCTTTTTTTGTTTTTCTGGTGTGGCGGCATTCTAGGGGGAGCGACTGGTTTGTTTGTATGAGAGTTATGGAGCTGAATATGCACCGTATGGTGGAGGTTGTCGAAGGAGAGATGCAACCTGCCCTGTCTTTTTTCTTTCCTTTTTCTCTGCGATATGCATTATGGCCGCGACCAGGATTGGCTCGTCGTCTGTCTTCTTCCGCGGGGGTTGATGTTCACGGCCGAGCTGGCCGATTCTCTACCACCCGGCGCTTGTTTCGTGATAGGCAGTTGTAATTAGAGCGGCTTTGCGAGAGCCAAAGGAATTGACTCGCGTGTCGTCTGATGTACATTTAAAGCAGCACTAATGTGACGAAGACGCACGATTTGTGTTTTCAATGTGATTCATCTAAAGGGTTCTCTATCCATTCCGCTTCCTTCAGAGGTAACACCTTGGCTATGACCTTGCCGTGTATAGAGGCGAGGGGTAGTGGTCCAAAGGTCCTCGAGTCTCGCGAACTGGGCAGGTTATCGCCAACGATCCAACAGTGGCCTTCGGGAACCTGTGACTTGTCAGTAGATGCCGGGTCCGGAACCAGCAAAGCTCACCCACCTGCATCATGTAGGGCTCGGCGCCTTCGGCCACGGGCGCCCCCGGCGTATGCATGAGGACGTAGTCGCCCGGCATGCCGATAACGCGCTTGATGCCGCGGCTGTTGCGGAAGATGGGGATGCTGTACTCGACGAGGTCGCCGACGCGGATGCCCCGGCCACGGCGGTGGTGGTGCGAGATGAGAAAGTGATCGCCAAAGATGGAAAAGGTGGGGAGCATGGAGGCGCCCTGGGCGGGGCCGGTGCGGTAGCCGTAGTCTATGAGGAGGTGGGCGGCGGCGAGGGCCTTGAAGGTGCCGAGGAAGAGGAGGAGGGAGTTGCGGCCGGGCTGGCGCGCGGCGAAGCGGGCGAAGGGGCCGGGGGCCATGGTTGCGGGGTTTACATGCTCGGGCTGCGCGAGGTTTGTCTGGATGAGCAAAGAGAGAGGGGATGTGATGAAGGTGACCCTGACGACCAGATGAGTGATGAGAGGGAGTTGAGGTCGAGAATGGGAGCTTGGACCAGGAGAGCTTTTGCGATTGAGCACTCTGACTGGTTCGGACGGGTGGTTTCAGGGCCCACTCTGACGTTAGGAGCCTCCGACGGCTACAATGGGCCACGGTGCTTCCGAGAAGCTTGAATTTCCCAGTCCTGAACTTGATTGCTGTACCACGGTCATTATCTCTGCGCATCCTCCATTCCTGACCCGGCTACGACGGGTTTTCGACGACATGAAGACAGCAAGATGTGTCTACAACAGCCAGACGGCCCTTTACCGGGTGTTCGTGTCTCCCCTCGAGTCTCTTGAAACAACCCTGGCATCAAGAAGCCTCGCGCTCGCCAGCGCCCATGCTCGCAAGAACTGGTCAGCTTCAATTATGCGTCCATCAGCTTTCCGCACGTTATCTACGACACGCTTCCTGTCGGCGCCTCCCCGTCCCGCAGGCCCGACAGGCCCCGGCGGCCGGCGCGGCAAGGTGGCCCCCGACCGTCTCCCGCAAGACCTCGAGATCAAGGACAAGAAGATCATGCTCGTCGACGACGCCACAGGCATCAAGGGCCCGTTTCTCACGCGCGCCATCATCGAAGACCTCGAGGAGGGCTACTCGCTACGCATGATCAAGGCGGCGACCCCGCCGGAGCCGAAGAAGCCCAGCGCCGATGGGCAGGCGGCCAAGGCACGGCCCGCGCGGGCGGAGGTGCCGTTCGCCCTGTGCAGGATCGTGCACGCGCAGGAGGAGAGGCTGCGGCTGCTGGCGCAGGCGAAGGAGAAGAAGGCGCGCGAGAAGCAGGCGGGCAAGCTGAAGGAGATTGAGCTCAACTGGGCGATTGCGGCGAACGACCTCGCCATCCGCATGGGCAAGCTCAAGGACTTCCTCGGCAAGGGGTGGCGGGTAGACGTGACGCTGGCCAAGAAGAAGGGCGCGAGGAAGGCGACGCAGGAGGAGATGGCGGCCGTCGTCAAGGCCGTTGGGGCGGCGGTGGCCGAGGTGCCGGGGGCCAGGGAGAGGAAGGCGAGAGAAGGCGAGTTGGGGAAATCATTCCGTATCTATGTCGAAGGTGTGGCACCGAAGGAGGAGGTCAAGGCCAAGGGCAAAGCGAAGGCAGAGGCGGAGGCTACCCCTCGGGAAGCTCAGGAAGGGGCTGAGAGTTGAGAGGAGATTCCCTTTGGTCGCGTCAACAGATGGAGATACCTTGGAAATACACTGGAACTTTGAGGACACTCTTTCTACCATGCGAACCATGTCTGTAGTAGCATCAAGCTCCCTGGGCATCCTTTGCCATGATTCTGCCTGGGGTATCAGTCTGGACATTAGATGACTAATCATCAAACAAAGCAACTTGGCGCAGCGGAAGCGCGCCGGGCTCATAACCCGGAGGTCGGACGATCGAAACGTCCAGTTGCTAAGATAAATCTTTTGCATTTCCCCTCTGATGTCTCTTTTTGTGTCTTTTCTCATAGCGTATCGTTGCTCACAAAGTACATATGCTTCTCATCATGTAGTTCACCTTCTTTTGGTATTCTTTGGTCATGGATGGGTGCTTTGACCTTTTTCTCTGGTCATTATCTTCCGACTAAAAGCACAGCATAGCTGTTCGCATTGCAATAAATTCTGGTGCTATATGTTCCATCTACTGGTACATTAGCCGTGCTCGTGTTCTGTTGTTCAGGCACTCGACGACCTAGGGTACTTAAGGTGCGGCCGCGCTGCGCAGCTGCCTTCTAATTGTGCAAGGTCGCCCAATTTCGAGAGCATTTCTTCTCAGCCATATGGGCCGAGTTGGGCTGCATATTCTTGAAAGTTGCACCTTATTCTAGTGTCACAACCCAGAAGCCGTTCTCTGTTTTCAGCTCATGCTTGGCCACAACGAGTAAGTCTTAAGCTGGGTCAACAGTACTGATAGTCTCAAATTCTAGGCTCAACAGAAGAATACTCCCCCTGCTAGGAGCTGCGCACTTCACGACGTGCATTCTGTCGAGAGCTCGACATATTTATGAATATGCCACGCCATGAAAACTTGGAGCAGAGCAGCGGTCAAGACATAGTCGGAGTTGATTACACGATGATGCAACAAGAGACCACGGAGCCAAAATGAAAGAGAGAAAAAGAAGACCTCTTTGCTCGAGATTTGGGTTTCATATCCAAGAAGAGGGTATCAACCATCAGAAGTGACCCTGGCCGTCCTGGGTGTGCAAGGTGAGGTCACGGCGGCTGTGAAGCTGCCCACTAGCGGCCCCACCAACGCGGGGTCCTTGATGCACTTGTTTCCCCCCTCCCACCAGCAAAAGCATTGGGTGCGACAAATCCAAGTGACTCAGCCTTCAATTTTCCGAATTCAGCTCGACAACCACTTTCTCGACGCTCCAGCGCGACAAAATTTACGCCTCACGAAGCTGTTGTAACTTCTTGGATCACCTGGACCTACGACTTGACTTGTACAGCTTGTACGGAAAGACGTTTTTATTCCTCCATCGGACCCACACCTGGTGTGAGCACACCACACCTGTGCGACTTCCTCTAGAACCCCTCGCTTTCTCCCATCGACGCATACCTTTTCGACGCAACGACAGCTCTAGAGTGCAGCGCACCGTCAGACACACAAAATATGGCGACCGAGGGGGAGAATGCGCCCGGCGCTTCGCAAAACGAGATTGCGACTGCTGCTGTAGCGGTCGAGCAACCGAAGGAAACACCAAAGGAGACACCCGTCGCCAAGCCTGCCAAGAGCGGCAAGGACTCGAAGGGCACAGGAGCCCCGGGTGCAGAGGGCGAGAAGAAGCTTTCGGGCGCGGAATTGAAGGCAAAGGCCAAAGCTGAGAAGCAGGCGAGGAGAGCCCAGCAGAAAGCAGCACAGCCAGCAGCTACTCCTTCCGGTGGGCCTGGAGGCCAGCAAGCACAGGCGGGCGGCGACGCGAAGGGTGGAAAATCAAAGCAGAAGCAGGACGGGCCCCAGGCCGCCGGCGGTGCGGGCGCGCGAGGGCAGCAGGCAAAACAGGCCGTCGTTGTGGTGCCTGTCGTGAAGGAGGTCAAGCCGACGATACCAGAATGCTACAGCCACCTGTCCGTGGCCAAGAGGACACCACTGACCCATGCCGATAAGGACGTGCATCCGGCCATGCTGTTGCTCGGCCAGCAAATGGCCGCTTTTGCTGTGAGCGACAGCACGGCGCGGCTGGAGGCCACGCTGCTTGCCTTTAAGAAGGTAAGGCGCCGATTGTGCCATGTTGACTGATGCATCACCATGCTGACACGCCTACGCAGGTCATCGACTCGTATGCGACGCCTCAGGGCAACACCTTCTCCAGACATTTCACCTCCCATATTCTCAACCCACAAGTTGAGTATCTGTCAGCATGTCGGCCAATGTGCTTCTCCATGGGCAACGCCGTGCGTTGGCTCAAGCTCCAGATCAGCAAGATCGACATTGACCTCCCCGACTACGAGGCACGCAAGCTTCTGCACGAGTCTATTGACAACTTCCTCCGCGAGCGCGTTCACCTCGCCGACGAGGTCATTATCGAGACAGCCGCCGCCCTCATCACGGATGGCGAGACAATTCTCACCTATGCTCATCACCCTCTAATTCAACGCGCCTTCCGTCACGCTCACGTTGAGCAGGGCAAACAGTTTACTGCCATAATTATTGACGACCCCTTTGAGCTCACAGGCAAAGAGCTTGCCAAGTCTCTTCACGCAGACGGCCTCTCGGTCATCTACGTGCCCGGTCTCAACGCCCTGCGCGCTCATCTCGCCAACACCGACATGGTGCTTGTTGGAGCTGAGGCCATGTTCAGCAACGGAGCCATGTACGCGAGGGCAGGAACATGCGATGTGGCGATCGCAGCGCAAGATCTAGGCGTCCAGGTTGTCGGTCTGTCGGAGACGATCAACTTTACCGAGAGGGTGGCGATGGACTCACTCACGTACAACGAGATTGACCCCGAGAACAACTCGAACGACGGATTTAGGCTGCTGTTTGACACGACGCAGGACAAGCACGTCACGGCAGTGATCACAGAGCTGGGCAACACGGCGACATCTTCTGTGGCTGCCATTTTGCGAAAGCTGGAGGAATTGTAAGTACGGGATACGATGCATTGGAGGCGTTGAGGGATGCTGTGTTGGTGGTGATAGCTAGGCCAACCTGTCTGGAGTTCGATAGGTCTCCAGCCGTCTGTCGGAATATTCCGATGGCCAATTGACCGCTGTCGGGGGATCTTGACCCTTTGACACTCAACTTCATCCCAAGTCTACACATGTGCAAAATGTCGTTCCCTCTCGGTGCCCATCCATCATATTCGAAGCCACTTAGTAATTCAACCTCGTGCTGCAGTTCATTCAAAGATTCAATTCCACATCCCAGAGCCATATTTACACTCGCCGCTGCCATTGGGCCGACGAGATGATTGATCCGTCAAGCGGCGTTGCCTGCCGTGCGGCATGTTTTTCCACCACCACAAAAAACCATTCGATCGTCGCTCCCTCGCCTTCGACCTGATACTCAAACAGACTGCGCCGCGCCCGAGGGAGCCTCGGCCTCCTTCTCCGCCCTGCGCGCGCGCTTCTCGAGAAGCACGGCCTTGCGCTCCGTCAGCGTGGCCGTCTGTCTGTCGTCGACGCCCTGGAGCCAGTATCCAAAGGCGCCACCGGCGGCCGTGTAGATGGGGTACGGCCAGAGGGTCTTGCGAGTGAAGAAGGGGCGCATCTCGATACCCATCTGCCAGAAGCGGACGGCGAAGCCTGCAGTTTCCGGGTCAGTAGCT